CTTGTTGAATGATTTCAAATTATCTCTGAGTCTGAACTGAGGGAAAGGAAACCAAATTTTGAGCAGTCTCTCACGAGTTCAAAATACCAAATGAGGAGATTCTAAAAGAACAGACCGGTTTATGAAAGACTCGATGGGGGAGGGGCACAGCTAAGAATACTTGAGTGAGATTCTGTGATCCAAATTCGAGATAGAGCTTTTTGATAATGATAATTTGTCAGAGTAAGGTTGTGTAATCAAAATTTGAGAATGAGCTTTGTCAATCAATCAAGAATATTTGCATTAAGTTCTGTGATCAAAATTCAGAAACAACCTTTAATAATTGATAAAGAATATGTGAGTGAGGTTGTGTGATCCATCCAATTTGAGAATTAGCTTTGATAATAATGATTGAGAGCCTCTGGCCCTCTGTGGATCATGGCCGCGGGGCCAATTTTGCCTGGCCCCTTGGGGCCTCTGTGGGTCGTGGCCGCGGGGCCAAGTTGGCCTGGCCCCTTGGGGCCTCTGACCCTCTATGGATCGGGGCCAAGTTGGCTGACCCCTCGGGGCCTCTGGCCCTCTATGGATCATGGCCGCGGGGCCAAGTTGGCCTGTCCCCTTAGGACCTCAGGCCCTCTGTGGGTCGCGGCCGCGGGGCCAAGTTGACCTTGCCCCTTGGGGCCTCTTACCCTCTATGGATCGTTGCCGTGGGGCCAAGTTGGCCTGACCCCTTAGGACCTCAGGCCCTCTGTGGGTCGTGGCCGCGGGGCCAAGTTGACCTGGCCCCTTGGGGCCTCTGGCCTTCTGTGGCTTACGGCCGCGGGGCCAAGTTGGCCTGACCCCTTAGGACCTCAGGCCGTCTGTGGATCGTGGCCGCGGGGCCAAGTTGACCTGGCCCCTTGGGGCCTCTTACCCTCTATGGATCTTGGCCGCGGGGCCAAGTTGGCCGGGCCCCTTGGGGCCTAAGATTATTATTTTTGCAAAAGCAGTTTTGCTTGGGTCGCGGCCGCGGGGCCAAGTTGGCCTGGCCCCTTGGGGCCTCTGGCCCCCTGGGCCTGGGCCCGGTAGGCCCGGTCATTAATCCACCTATGATTTTCATGGATCATGTCTGAGTCCATTATACCCTAATGGAATTAACCTGCCTTTTATGTGTCCAAACTAATGTTTTCCCATGTTTATCTAATTAGGACGGTTCCTCTGTCAGGATAAAAAGCCATCTTCATAGGGGTGGAACGATTCACAAAATCCACGGTTCGGTTCGATTCACGGTTTCTGGTCACGGTTTTCGGTTCAATTCGATACATGTTGATTGTTACACCGAAATTCCATAAAAAATTATGAAATTAATGAAAAAATCCCCCCAAAAATAATGGATTGTAATTATTTTAAATGATCCGCGGAAACCCTGGATCATTTCCGTATGTTTTGCTGCTTTGAATTTAATCATCTGGCGCATGCTCTCTAACCTGACAACAGCCAGATGCATGTCGCTCAGCCACATGCATCTGGCTGTTGTCAGGTTACATGCTCTCTACCATCTCCAAGGAACTCAGAGGGGAGCAGACGAAGCCACAGCGGGGGCTGTAGGCTTTGCTTTGAGCAGCCAGTCTGGAGCGCAGCGGGGCGGAGCGGGGGTTGCTGACGGAGTATGAGGGATTTCGGGGTTAGCATGACATGTTGCTGTTAGCATAAACAAAACGTGTTGCACAATGCTTGCACACTGTTGCACTTTTATCCACAACTTTCTTTCCGCTGTCATCGTAGGTCACTCTAAATGCAAAGCACTCCCATACAGCAGACCTATAAAGTGCTGCTGGCGCGTCTTCCAACTCCTGTTCTTTCCCACTCGCCAGTCCCACACAATTCTCCACAACAACTGATTTTTTTCCCTGCTACACTTGGCTAAGCTGCTTCGCTTCTTCTTCTTCTTGTTTACTACTGGCGGTTGGCTTTGGTCGCAGTACCGCCACCTTCTGCTCTGGAGTGTAATCGCTTCCTCTATGAGAAAAAGGAGCAGCGCATGAACCGAACGAAACACACGCGAACCGAACCGAGACAGTCGAACCGAAAGATTCTGACGGTTTTCATAAATTGTCCCATCCCTATATGTGGCAAACATTTGGGTACGCAATGAGAACAGTGTCCTTGATCGTAGAACATACAGTAGTGTAATATTTTGATAAGGCTGGAGCCATGGATGTCACCTCATATTCAAAGGTGTACAGTAGTAGCCATTCAAAATGTCCCCACTTTCCTTGATAGCCCCTTGGCTGGTCCCCTAAGATACCTTTTTTAAACATTAATCTTTGTACTAAAATATTCTTTCTGTCATGATTTGTGTACATTAAGTTCTAGAGAGAGGCGCCTTCTCCTGTCCAGACCCTGTAATTCAGTTAAAGGGTGGAGTCAGAGTAAAAAAATATGCATGCCCAGAAGAAGGAGGGGGTCACTCCAGTGGCTGGAAGTTGGCTGCCATTTGGCTGGTGTTTGACTGGAAAGGGCCATTTTGAATGGCTTCTACTGTATGATGTAATGATGGGATGCTGGATACTGGAGTTTTATATAATGCATCTTTAACTGGGATTCGGTGCCGTTTTAATGAAGCGAGACCGGTTGGTAAGTGCTGCCTTCGGTAACTAAGCAGCTTCTCTGATCCGAGTAGGATTACAACTTCTGTCAAAATCTGTTTTCATATCTCATGGTTATTTTATACATATACATTATGACGTGTAACTGAAAGAGTTTTTCACCCAAGTGATCCCTTCTTCCTGCCCTGACCTGAATGTAGAGTAACTTGTGGAGAGCCACTGAAGGACCAACCCCACAGCTGTGTCCACACAGAGGTGAGGAGATTCCTTTTTAAATATCTCCAATGCTTTTTGAGGGGTTCGATGCGCTTCGGGCTCTCAGGCCGCCTGAAAGTGTGCAACAAAAAAAAGTGTTTTTTGAGCATCTGAATCTACCGAAGTACAATTTGAACTTCTGAGAAAATACGTTGTCCCACATTGGGCATGAAAACCCAAATAATTAAAATCTCTGTTAATTAAATAGAAAATTCTCTGGACTGAGTAACATTACAATTTCTATAAAAATCTGTTGTCCTGTCTCATGGTTATTTAATACATTAAGAAGTGTTGTTTAAAAAGTTTGTCCTGAGTGATTTCTTCTCAGGAAAAGCAGCGGAGAGAGAAAGCTTCAAGGTCTAAACAACCAAGCTTTCTTTTACACCATGGTGTGTTCCCTTTTTTAATAAAAATTATCAAAGGTTTCAAAATTTATTCAAGGACTGTTAATTTATTTTTAAAAAAATAATTCATCATCTTAAATGCAATACATTACAATTGTGCTAATCTGACCAACGGTTGTAAAGGGCATATAAAGATCCATCAACCTTTTGACCAGTAGCATTAAAAATCTATAATTTTAAGGCTTGATGGGCTTTCATAATAAATGTATTTTGTTATAGGAGTAGAATGATCATCATTGCACCTTCGGGCATATGTATAGACAATATTGTTTGCACTAAATTGTTATGCACTATTGCTATGGCCAATTTTATAAAGTCCTTTTAGATGAACATTTATTTCATATTTATGTGACATTAGACAGATCATTCTAAAATATTTTTTTCAACTTCTTTTTCAAGGAGGAAGCAGAGCAGCCACTTATAAAATGATAAAATTAGGCCTATCTTAAATAAAGTCTTTTTTGTCACAGGTTCCTATAGGGATGTTAGAGGTGGTAATTGATCCTTTCCATGTTATCACAGAGCAGTAAAGTTGGTCATTTCTACAATTTTGAAGAAAAAAAATTCTTAATATGTCTTATTCTAAAGAAGAACCTTCAAAAGACATCAGTCTCCCCTCATTAAAGAGATTTCCCTTTGTACAAAACTGTTGATATCCGAAATCCAGAACCTTGCATCCATCTTTCCTTGTATATCTTCCCATATAGAGCTAAATTAGGAAATGTTGTCCTATATTTATCCTTTTTACCACATAGGAAATGTAAACTATATTACAAACTTTAGAATTATTAGTTTCATAATTTAATTTCAATGAAATTACATACATCTATGTATCATGTGGCAACACGGCTGAACTTGATCAAATGCATTTTATATAGATTATTCTTCAATGAGTAAAAAACTTAATTGTGCACAGTTGTGTTGCAAAATAATAACAGTAAAAGTTAATTCATTTAGGTCTTCCTGCCTCTATAAACAGGAATAATGATAGGCAAAGTTATTGTAATTTTTCTACGTATTTCAAATACATTAACTTTCCTTTCAACTTTAACATTTTAGCACACATTCCTGCAGATGGCACTAGAGGGATGTTTTGAGATAAATACAGAAATTGAGGAAGAAATTTAATATTTACAATATTTCTTCTTACAGTAATTGATGTTGGAAGAGATGACCATCATTCCAATTCTTGGTTGCTACTACTAATGTATTTAAGTTAGCTAATACATTATTCTCTGACAACGGCACTGTTTTTGATACATAAATAGATAAGCTCCAAAGTAATAAACTTTGCATTGTACTTGGTTGAAAAGTAGGAAGCTAAAAAAGAAAACAAAGCTTTGTAATTTGAAAGTAATTTACAAATGTTGGAAGAAAAAAATCCCTCGTTTTCTCAGTTAGATCATAGTATCACTCAGAGCAGTGCCCTAGTTACCAAAAAAACACAAACAAAAAAATATTTTGGACGGTCAGTATTTTTTTCCATGGCAACAATCCATGGAACTCTGAATCCTGAATTTAAGGTGAATTCAAACAAGGGTTGTTTCAGATATGATCTGAAATATTTCCCTAGAAAGAGATCAGATGTTTAATCGACATTATTCACTTTGAAATGCTTATATGCACTTTTGACTTTTTCCTAACTCTTTGTTTAAATCATTGATTTTGTAAAGGCCATTCTAGGTACAAGTATAGCAAATTATCTACAACTACAAATGCCACAGACGTATAAGTTAGATACATATTTACAAGAGATTAGATGAACCACACTCACCACATCTGACTTTGTAGTGAACTTCTGTGTCTGAAGGCTTTCAATTGCCATCCACTTCACTGGCAGCTTTGCCCTTTGGTGATTCTGAATGCTGTAGTACTCCTTGTCATAGACGTCTCTTGCCATGCCAAAGTCAGCTACTTTAACGGTGAAGGTTTCATCAAGCCTATAAAGAGGAAACAGTGAACATTCATCTATCTCATTCAGTTATTTGTAAAGTATGCTGCAAAAAAATCTAAGTAGGTCAATTTTCCTAAAGAGCATTTTTTTTCTTGAATCAAGCAGGTAAGTGTAACACTTTGCCAATGAAATGAGGCAATTTACATTCAAATGAGAAAAAACTGCAGTCTCTTCTTTCAATTGCATAATATCTAATTATCTTATTTTATTCTTATTATAAGGTTTTAGATTGTTTTTGCAGTGTAAACAAATATTTCAAATAGTTCGCAGTTTTCAATAAAAATCTATCCAAGCTCAACAACAAAATATACTAAATACATCTCAACAAGTTTTTCTAAATAATTTGGGTAAAAGTACAATTTATACCCTTCGAATTCTCTGACTACAAAAATAACTGCAAATGTGTGTTTTCTTTTTCACAAGTATTTCTCTTTATTTAGATCAATTTTCTAATGCTATAGTGTCATAGAAATTCTACAGTATGATGCTGCCACCACCATGTTTCATAGTGGGCACAGTGTGTTTAGGGTAGGTGCAATGTTGATTTTGTATCCTAGACTCAGCCTAGAAGAGAACTGGTTCTCCGGCCGTCTTCCACATGTGATTGGGCATAAGGAAAATCATTTACAGTGGCATACTGTAAATGATTGACTCCTCTTCCACCTCTCCAGTAAAGACCAATGTACAAAAGTAATATTTATCTTGACAGATTCTCTCACTTCCAGATTTAGCCTAGGCTTCTAGATTTTTTTTCTATTTAAATCTTAGCTTGTAATATGTAGACAGGCATATATGGTTAAATGAACAATGGTACTGTATCTTTGTTTTTTAATAAGTGGTTGTACAGTCCTCCATGAGCTGTTTATAGCTTTACAAATCATTATAACTATATTCTTTATGCTTTATCTCAGAACTGTTTGCTCTGTTCCGTAATGATTTTTCAATATGTCGGTTTTTTTATCAAAAAATATTAAACAAAGTCCCGAGTCAATTAAAGAATATCCCAATTTTGTACTGAAAATAAGTTAAACAGCTGGATGCTCGTTATAAAGCAGTTGAGTACTTAAGGTATTATGTTGCACTGGAATTTATTTAGGAGTATCAGAGTAAATAGGGTCAAATAACATGTTACATGTTTATGCTACAGGCTATAAATTGTTAATAAAATTCTGTCTTCTTTTGTACTGTTTCAATACTAAGTTAATTAAGAGCAAGACATTCCACTAAATAGAATAAAGTTTGATGTAACATAGCATTAATCTGGGTTTGATTCACACTCACATGCAGTTTCTTGCAGCCAAGTCTCTGTGAACAAACTTTTTTTGAGCCAAGTATTCCATACCCTTGGCAACCTGAAGCCCAAACCCAATCAGATCCTTCACTGTTGGGTTCTGTGGGAAACAAACAAATACATATAGAAAACTGGTTTGTAGCACATTCATTTGAGCTGAAAGTATAGAAAGTAAGTAATGAACTTGCCCTTTTCTCGGATCGGATGAAATGGCGCAAATCTCCATGTTTCATGTATGGCAGAACCACCAGAGGAAGTCCTTCCTTGGGCAGCATGATGCCCAGCAGGGACAGTATGTTGGGGTGGTGAAATTCTTTCATGATAATTCCTTCTCTCAGGAACTGGTCCACTTCAACCAAATCTGTGATTCCTGTTAATATAAGTTGGTTTTAATAGTAAAGGTCCATTGAGATAATTAAGCTGGGCAATTAATTGCATTTGCAGTATTATGGCATGGAAACAATAAACCTATGCTTTAAAATTCTTCATACTTTTGGTTAGTGCAGATAAAAAAAATCAAAATTAAATCACAGTTGCAATTTTGATTAAAGAAAAAAAATCACTATTTAAATTTTTCACAAGATCATTTAGCCCTAACGAACATTAGAAATATTTCTCAGAAAGGGAAAGCAATTTGGTCTTCACCTCTGCAGATGCACACTTGCTGGAGAAATCCAATGGGAATGCATAACACATGTACATTATATACAACCAACATTTGCTAATAAATCGGCACCGTTACTCCTTGAATTTAATTTATGCAGGATAGTAACAAAATGTATTTTAACAACAGAGAATAATAGAAACTACTGTCATGATAACCTTTAAACAAATGCACTTACTGTTTAATGATTTTACTGCACAGTGAGTTTCTTGTTTATCGCTTTCTATTAGATATCCATGATAAACAGTCCCAAAGTGACCTGTGTAAAGGGGATGCGGCAGGTGAGGGAAACTTTGAAAAGAAATGAGTAAATGTTGTGGAACCAAGTAAAGAAAAGAGGTTTACCTTTTCCAATAATCTGCCCCTCCTCAATTCTGAGCCTCTCAGCAGGAATAAGCACATCTTTAACTTCTTCAAGCAGTTCAGGGTTTGTGCTAATCATAGACATGTTGTCTCTTGGCATTAAAGGCACAGCCACATGATCATAGCCAGAGGCATATATTAAACCTTGGAAGGCCATAGCTCCTGTGGGACTCAACATCTGACCTAACAAATAAGTTAAAATAAAGAAAAACATTTACATAAAGAACATTTTAGCAGTTTTACATTTGAATGGCTGTATTTGAATTAAGTTAGGGGTTGTATAAAAAAAAAATCATACAGTAGATGGTATAATTTAAAAGCATTGCTTAACTACTGATCCACTTTTTAGACTATTAAGGACTATAGGACATGCATATGTGTAAAGGGAAAATTTACTAAACCAGTGAGGCCCCAGCCAAAGGCCAAGAATTTAGCATTTAATTTTCAATTATTCAGCTTTGATCAGTTCTTTAAAAAATCAATTACTGGGATAAATGTCAGTCTGCGTATCCTAGGTTTTCAGTTTTAAAAAGCTAGATAGATGTTATACTAAGTTAAGCTAACTCTGCATGTTACTCTGAGCTAATTGATCGGTAGCAGAGTTGTTGAAATAACCCTGGGAATGTACCAAATTCGAAATGGGTAACAATTTAGATATGGTGTGTCCTGTAAAGAATTTTAAAGGTATAGAGGATGATCTTTTATTTCCAGATGGATCATCTAAATGAGTGGTCCTCCTAATTGTCTATCATTCTGGTGATATGTTTACTTAAGGCCATCCTACGTGCTCTTCCCGTTAGCTATATTTTTCTGAGCATGCGCATTTTCAGGCATATACCTGTGTTGAGCTATGGTTTTAGACAGTCATTGAAGCTCAGTTTTTTTAAAAGGGCTGAGGGTCGTAAGAGAAAAAGTGATATGAAAAGAAAAGAAAGGCCTCAGAAGAGGCAGATATATCATGGAATGCTGTCACAGCGGACTGCTGTCACTACCAGACAGTGGTGAATAATACAAAGATGGAGCAGGCACCATGCAGTGAAAGGGGAGTTACTTGACCTATGGAGCAAAAAGAAGTGATCATCTGTCCAAACGGTCAGTTACCTGGGTTCACTATAAAGTCCCCTATATAGTCCCTGCTCTATATAGTGATTGAGGGATATAGGGGTAAGGGCGGACGTTCGGGCACAGTAAGCTTGTATAAGCTATAAGAACAGCAACTTTTAAACAGAGCATGCACGAGGAGAAATGGGCTCGTGCATACTCCGGCATATGCTTTTTTTTTAAAGTGGAGAGAAATCCTCCACTATACCTTTAATGGACTCCAATTGTTGAGTGTTACCCTATCTACTTTAAGTTATCCCATATCGGTCAAATGCCACTCTTTAGCAGAGCGGAGAATGTCCCTGCCTGTCATGCTGAACATCGGACTTCAAATCCTGCGCGCATTTATATGGATGTTTTGATAATCTTCATATGCCATCAATAACATTTAGTTTTACTGGCAAGATATGAATCCTTCCTTTCACTGATGAGTGCTATGTATGTACGTATAACTTTACACTTAATTATAAGCCGAGTTGACTCAGAGTTCAGTTACCTGATTAACATCACCTGTTCTTTAACCAAAAATTCTAAATATCACAGAGAGGAATACATTGGCTCAGGATATTCACTCTTTACCCAGACTAAGCCTCCTCTCAGTAATGGGGCTAAAGCACAAAGGTATTTATTTCCTGTGTTCATATGGCTTACTTTGTCGGTATTCAATTGTTGGAGATAAGTCCATCCTGCTCCCCATCCGATTTCGGGACATTGTTGACAAACGTCGTTCTATGCTGGCTGAAAGAAAACATTTAGTGCAACAAATACTGTGAGTAAAAATAAAAGCAGAAGGCTAAAAGTCACATGTTTGAGAATATAAGTGCTCGTTGCAAAATACAAATACACAATAAATAAATAATTAAATCTTGTTTTTTAGTGTACCCTGATCAATATGACCATTTTCACCATGGTCAAAAGAAAAGATGGACTGATGTTTAACACCAGTTTAATCGAAACCCAATATGTGCTTCCGATTCTTTAAGCTAATATTGCTTTCTTTTCCTCTGATTAAATGATAAAATGGCAATGATAACTAGGGATGCACTATATAATCGGCCCCCTATCGGTATCGGCCTGTATCAGCCTTAAAACTGAATATTGGACATCGGCCAGCCCACTAATATTTAACCCGATATTTGATCAGCTTCTGAGTTTCTAAAGTCAAAAAAAAAAAAAAAAAAATACTACTTCTTCTTCTTCCTCAAAAACGTCTTTTTTACAGACTTAAAAACTTCTAAAGACGAGGGAAAAAATATTGATACATTAAAATATCCCAATATCTTCATATGCTGATATATTGCCATTTAAAAACACCATATCAATCTCTTTTACTAATGAAATATTGCTATATGTCATTGTTATGCTACGAAATCCCCCGAAAATTCACAACATTTTGCCATATTTTTATATGTTGATATATTGACGCGGTATCAATCTATTTTACTAACAAAATCTCACAAGAATTTGCAAAATATCACGAGAGTTTGTAACAGAACGATGAAATTTCACAAGATTTTGAAAATAAAATAGATCGATACTGCGTTTTTAAAAATCAATTTGATATCAGCATATGAAAATATATTTGAGTATATTATTTTTCAAAGTGTCAGAAATGGATAACAAAACTGCTATTTTCAATGACTACTTATTTTTGTCCAGCTTTAACATCGGTATCGATATCGGTTATCGGCTACATGAGTTTTAAAATATCAGCATATCGGATATTGGCCAAAATCCAAATATGGTGCATCCCTAATGATAACAAATGTTACTAAAGTATCAAAATAAATAAAACCGTTATTGACAAAACAAAACACACTAACAATGGAGAGCAAATGGAGATAATGGCAATGCTTTCTGTGATCTTAAGGCATTGCTGATAAATGCATCTATGAATCGGTGAACGCAAGAAGTGCTTATATCGACAAAAACTATCGGCCGCCCAATGTATCAGTCTATCTCTAGTCACAAGTTTTCTAGAGGTTTTCGCTAATAAATATTTTCTTTTTTCTTCCCTTACCTCTCTCTTTGTTTCTTAGATGTCTCATCACAAACAGTGCAAGGCCAGCACCTACGACCAGTGCTGCAATAATGCCCAGCACAATACCTGCAATCACAGTGTCGTTGTTGGTTTTGGTGCTGACAACAGTGCCCACATCATAATCTTCCCCATTGACAGAAACCTGCAGCAGCAAAGCAAAAATGTTGGCTTTTGTTTTGCATTTCACTTGGTGTCAAATCTAGTTTAAAATAAGGATTTTTTTCTCACTTTAACCGGTAATCCTGCGCTGGGGATAATCAGGTCTTTAGGAATCCTGCAGGTCACCTCATTAAGAAGAACTTTATGCTTGCAAAGCTCACTGCCAATGCTCATTGTTATTTTCATGCATTTCTCCACTGACTGTAGTTTGTTGTGCTGATATAAAACCAAAGATTATATATTAAAAGACGGGCGGCTTAATATTATGCAAAGCATCATATTTAATTCAAACAAAACTTTATTTGCTGAAAGAATAGTATAAACTATCGTACATGCAGTGAAACTTCATCATCTCCTGGTTTCAGACGTAAAATGTTGTCATCATGTTCAAACGGGATGACTTTGGCATCCGCGTGGTAGACAAACTTTTCTCTGAAAAGATCTTCTTTTCCATCTATCTGAATGGAAATGTATCCATGATTAACCTCCTGTACCTCCGCCGAAAAGGCTGGGGTCCAGCACTCCAGGTGCGTGGCGTTTCTTGAGCCGTTACATACCTCAAATTAAATAACATCGTTGTTTAAACCAAGAAGCATTAAGTACTGGTTTTGTTTTCATGCGTCTGCCTGCCAGACGCATTTTGAAGGTAATATAAATTAAACTTACTTGATCTACAGTCTTTGAAGATGTTGTAGAAGTATACTGAACGACAGGTCTGTGGCCTGAATCCAGATTCTGACCATTTATAACAAGCTTGGAGCCACTGTGTGGCAGCATAGGCAATGTTAGTAACACCAATAACATTTTTATTAAAAAAAACACAAAAAAAACTTTTTTTTATCAAAAAGCTTGATTTTACTTTAAGATTGGTACTGCATTAAAGGTATTAAGTGAGTGCCCCACCTTCTGAAGCTGCATCTGGGCTCAACAGAGTGTATGACAGGATCTCTTTTATAGAAAAACTTTTTAGCTGATGTCACTTCAAGGTTGTCAATTAAAACTTTCACTGGCACCTCCCCAATGTTTTTCGCCGGTGGAGTACTGCAGATTATTGAAGACAAATTTTCTTTTTCCTTGGGATCACTGAAATCAAAAGAAATCTGACATAGGTGAGCTAAATGTCCTTAAACAGTCTGTTACATTTCTAATAAGTGTTAACATCCTGTGTGTCTCACCTTAAAATCAATCTGCATTTTTGGTCTTCAAATAGAACCTCTCTTTGGTTCCCCGCGTAGAGATGTTTCCCGATGAGTGTAACATGGGTTCCTCCAAACATGGGGCCATGGTCTGGCTTGATGTCTATAATGCTGGGCTCCTGATGGAGATTAACGGATTGTTTTACTAACAGTTATTTCAATAAATTATCTGAATTTTATCTGTTACTTTACAAAAAGGAAATTCTTACCACAACAGAGAAGCCAGATATTTGGGCTGTACCTTCAATGGAGTAGACACCCTCCACCTCTCCCTCATCTATTTGCAGAGTGATGTTCAGGTCTTGGTTTGGTACTTTTTCATTCAGTTTACAAAACAGCCTGCATTTGAGCACATTCAAAAATAATGTAAAGATATTGAATAACGTAAAGACATAAATACATAAATCTCTCATAATGTCTCAAACATATTTATCTTGTCTTACTGCATATATTGCAATTTCTAAAAGAAGACGCCTTTAAAGGCTAAGGGTTTGAAACCAGCTCTGTACACTTTATCAATGCCCAATATGCAAAGGATAAGTACCACAACCATAAAAATATCAAATCATAGACTGAATTATTCAGAAAACAAATTAAACTGTTCAGCCGTTGGAGCAAATGAAAGGATCCTGAATGCTAAAATGAGTAAGCCTTCATAAGTAAAGGCAGAGTGTCTGCATAGCATAGCATGAGATGCTATCGCACTCAGTCAGAGATTTGACACTTGACTAGCACTGAAATTAATTATAAAGAAGTGGTCTACATGTGTGGTATGGCAAGTCTATGTGTTGTATTTCCTGTTGATTTATGACATGTATAAAGAATTTTATGTGCCCTGGCCTGGGTGTCGCTCTAATTAAATCATGACAGAAGATTTAAATAAGCTGAGCAATTCATAGCCATATTTTTACTTTTATTTTTATAAGCCAACTTAATTCCTGATCAAATTCAACTTGTTTTTATATGTCTAAGTTGTTCCCTTAACTCATTTTGAAATGTTAAACAGCTAAAACAAGTCAGGTGTTTGTTCCAGAATGTTCAGTTGTAGAATATTAAAGTGTTAAAAACAATTGGTTTGGGGAAATTTCAAAGCAACAAATTGTTTTCTGTATAAAACACAACATTTAAATGACAAAAGCCCTATAGAGAAAACAGACAACAAGTCTAAAATTTACCAAAATCCTTTGAACAATGACATAAAAAATAATTTGAGCAGACCTTTCACTCCACCACCACTCACCTCCACTTTTGAAGAGATGTTAATAAAACCCCAACAGGTTTGTTTAGTTAAGAAATGCAAAATACAATATTAATTGAGCTGATGGTGTTTCAAATATATCTATATTTACCTGAAAATTAGTAAGGTTTTGGAATGGAAGTGCATAACTTTATGTCAGCTTAACCTGCTTCATGAGTAATAGATTATCCATTTTTATTATTTTTGAGAAGCAATATTTGAATGTGATAAAGATAATCTCCAATAATGTATTGACAAATGTATGGTATATAGTGTAACTGGAGGAGGGGTTTGGGCAGCTATTATCCTGGCACCATGAGAGAGAGCCCGACTAAAATTATATGCCTCCTGCTTTGTATCCCTTGGTGTTTGTTAGATAATTAAGAAGACGGGACATTTTTACATGTTTAAAGCTGGTGCAGCTACTGAAAGTGTTTTACTCAAGTCTCCATCGTGCTTATACATAGAGATGAGAAATATGGACTTAATATTTTCATTTGTAATATTTGTGTTATAATAGCAAAGCTGAAGAGAAATACTATAGAAAAATGTATCATAATAGCCATAATATTGAAACAGGCTACTTTTGAACATCAGTTCCAAAAACTGATGTTACTTTACTGCTAAAGAACTCACATTAAAAGCATAGACCATTTTTAAACATGAATTAACAGGTTAATTATGAACAGGTTATTACTGATTAACTTGACCAACAGTGGTCCCATGTGTAATGAAACCAATTGTACAGTCAGTTTTTGGGTGTGCAGACATCATCAATTAGAGATTATTGTAGTTTTCTCAAAAATAATTAGTACTGCCTGATCTGCTTCTTAAGCAAGATACTTACAGTATTCAATAACCTAAAAAGTTATATATCTAAGATATTATGTAATCAATTTTACCTTTTGTTACTTTGACATTTAACTAGCAAAATCCAATTTAAATAATACACTTCTCAAAACAGTGACAAATATTAGTGTGTTTAAGGTTACAGACCGAATCATTGCTTGGAAGAAATATTTTGTAAGAAATTATACTCTAAGGTTGCCCTGCGCTGGACTGGCGACCCGTCCAGGGTGGACCCCGCCGCTCACTCAATGACTGCTGGAGATAGGCATCAGCACTCCTTGCTACCCCACTCGGGATAAGCGTGTTAGAAAATAGATGGGTGGATTATATTCTAAGGTATTGTGCATGCAATTTATGAATATTAATTTTGACTTGTAGGATAGACCTTCAATGTAATCAAAACCACAATTCTTTTTTTGCAGTTGAGGTGCAAATGATCACAAAAACTAAAAGAAAGAGGTAACAACCAGAAAAAGAAGGGATATTAAAACAATGCCATTCATTTTCAAACACTCACTTTCACCTCCTTCTTTAAAGATTAAAAAGAATCTATTATCGAGAACAAAAAATAACTAATGGAATTGAAGATCAGCATTTGCTTACATTGTTTTTTTAGCAAGTAAGATAAAAGCTAAAAAAGTAATTCTAATGGTACTGGTGTTTTGTGTCTGTGATTTTTACATTGTACTGTTGCTTCTTGTAGGCTGGACAACACATAAGGTCCCAGAGTTCACTTTTATGATGTGTGTTTTTCCATTAATGATGGCTGGCCGCCGAGCAGATTGGAATTCTGAACCGCACAGTGTTACCTCTGTCTCCCCTCCAGCAGGTGCTGTTTTAGGGAACAACTACAAAATAAATAGAGACAGAATATGTGTATGAGTGCAATTCACTTCATAATCAATAAGTACGAGTTAGGGACATAGCTACCTGAGTTATAATAGGTGCACATGAGTCTTTGTTCCAGACTGAGGTACAATTAGGCCTCCTGGAGCATTTGCCAGAACACCAGCCGCAGTTCATGAAGCTTGGAGCCATTAAACACACAGGGCATGTCAAAAAATGTTCACATCCCGGTCCTGCAGATGGCACCTTGAACATCTTTTGTATGGAAATAGAAGAGCTAAAAATGAGAAACCTTTTTTTTTTTTTTTACAATGTGTGTGTGCGCAATAGAATATGGTACATGTACCTTGTTTCCAGCTGCAAAGATAAGGTAATCTTCAGAGTAAGTAGTTGCTGTCCTGAATATTTCATCCTTTCCCAGGGAATAGTTGGCAAAAACTATTAGCTTGTGCCAGGTGAGAATCATCTACAAACAATTTAGACATAAAGGGCACCATATTAATTTTAGTCTGATACATTTTCCCACAATAAAACAAATTAACACAACAAAAGCATATTACGGTATTACCTGAATTATCCTGCCATCTGATGTGCCAAAATGCCCAATCGTATGATTTCCTATGGTGTTGACCAGAACAGATGTGAACAGGACATCCGTCATCTTGCTGTTGAAGATATCCAGCCTGTAGTGCGGCTTAGAGATCAGTGTGGCCTTTTGACTGCATGTATGATTCCCCGCAGAATTCTGCACAAGCAAAATACCCACATTTAACAAAACAAATATCTTCAAGTTCCAGGTCAGCTTGGATCTGACTCCATCAAAACCTGTCAATCAACTGAAATAACACAAATAGTAACTGCTTTACAATAATTGTTTCAAAAAAAGATACTCATGCATACACTTAGTGAGTCAGAGATACAATCTATTTTAGTTAATGTTGAGCATTATTGCATATTTATAAAATGCAAACCAAGAACTTTGTTTCTCAGATCATTTACTGTACACTATACACCTTTAATGCTTGGATGGGATTCCTTTTTTTTTTTTTTAGAACTACTGCATTAATACAGCCCAGCATAGAAGAATAGCTCTCCTGAGGTGTTAAAGCAGAGGTCTTCAAAAGGAGGTCCGCGACCCCTAGGGGGTCCGCGGAGGTACTGCATGGGGGTCGTGAAATTCTTGGTTGATTACTTTTTTTTTTATATTCCCTCCTGCAATTTTTTGCACTAATTAAAATGTCTTTAAATACACAGTAACATGAATTCAACACACTGTAGTAAACAGATAAATGGAGGCAGAAGATGTCTTTCAGTCGTCAATGCACACATTCAGCGACACACAGGAGCTCTTTCAAACCTGGGCACCGTTTCATTCACAACACCTGTCCTATCAACCAGGAATCAGATTCAGAAATACTTTAATAACCCCAGGGAGAAATTACTTTCGTTACATGACTCCATATGTAATAGAGTGACTATAGGACCAGTTTGATATAAAACAATTTCATACAATATATATAATTAGGGGGTCCCCGCTCCATCTCGCAATCAGTTTGGGGGTCCTTGGCTTTGAAAACATTGAAGACCCCTGTGTTAAAGACATTCATATAGCCGCATTCAACAATCTGCATTGTTGAGGCTGGTATCCTTCCCTTTATGTGCGTAGGTAAAATTAATTTTCTTGAAAGTACTGCCATTTTTTTAAAATCTCAGGTTATGGTATTTTTGGGAGTGTTGGCAAGTACCAAGTCCTTACTGAAAATTAAAATAGTGTCTCTGCAAAGCAGGTCTTTAAAAGGAAGCATTAAATGTTCTAAACTATCTAGGTAAATGGCTGTAGTAACTTTGGGTTTCAGGAATTGCCAAGTAAAGTATCAATACTTAATGTACTTAAGTAGGTTTTACTGGTTTCTGTACCTTAATAAAATATTTTTTGTGGACTTTTTACTATTACTCACAAAATGTGAACACAAATACCTGCATTTTCTACTTCTTATTTTCTCAAATGAGTAAACAGGTTAAACAAAAAAAAGGTGACAATATAGATCACAAAAGAGTCAATTTTTAAGTTTGAGCACAGTTTTTTGACTGCACTGATAGCAATGCAGATGAAGAGACTGGAGCTAGGAAACATTGCCAGACCAGATTCTGAAATGTAAGACATTCCCAGTCAATTCCCCTTTCATTAGATTTTACATTTACATTTTCATTATGTTTCAAGTTCTGTTTCAGGTCAGTTTGGATTTTCCTGTTTAATACTTTAATGTACAACACAACTAAACAGAGTAGATTTCAAGCTATTTTATCTAATTTAAGAAAAATCTTCATTTTAGTTTTGTACTTAAGTACAATGTAAACCCTTATTTTTATACCTTCACTTAAAAGAGTTAAATATGTTTAGTACTTCAGTACAGTACATTTACTAGTCTTTATTACACACATATCTGTACTTAGAGAATGTGGGTATTTTTGACACTTCTGTGGGCTTGTTAACAAATACTGGACCAACTCTGGGAAAACCTGATTACTCATATAATTTCTGTATAAGAAAATTTCCCATTCAACCTCAGAAAAGTTGGATTGGAGCAAAAGTTCTGTCTTTTTTGTTGTTTTGCAGTATTTTACGGCTTTTTCAAACTGAGTTGGACCCTAACCAAGCCAGGATATCTGGAAAATCCACTTTGTTCATTTTGTGATTAAAGCCGGGATTTTACAGATATCCTGGCTTAATTAAGCCCCATTTTGACAATAGCAGTAACATACTGTTATTTCAAACTACAGAGACTCTTCTAGTTTAGAAGGGTCTCAATTAGAGAAAAGCTTCAATTAGAAAAGTGTTATTGAATTCAATTCATTTATAAAGGTAACACATTCAGATTGTTCAAAATGTTTCTATCAAAGGAAAACCAGCTTATCAATCGACTCATTGACTCTCTGCAATCCCTCACACCAAGCATGCATGTGGCAACAGTGGAGAGGAAGACCTCCTTTTAACAGGAAGAAACCTCCAGCAGAACCAGGCTCAGTGAGAGCGGCCATCCGCTGAGGCTGACTGGGATTCAAGCACACAGAAACAGATATGCAGATAGTGACATCAATGAAATAAGTTATTTGGCGCTCAGGCCCCTGTAGAAGACTGATGCTTTGAATCAACATTTTCTTGTTCAAGTAACCTGGGAAATTAATAAGAGTAGTCTTCTACCGGGGCTTAGACACTGGTGGCGGATAAAGCCAGAGGGTGAGTGGGACTGAGAATAGTCTGAGAATGAGGGTGGAGGTGGGTGCAAGTTTGCTTGCATGCGGGAGAAGCTAGACCAAATGAAGGGGATCTTGAAAGATGAAGAGTAGGTGTGGCCCTGAGTTAATTGGCTTGAGCTGACCAAAGACATTGCAGGTGGTTCAGGTGAAACTGACAAGAGTCTTTCAGATTTTATTTTCACTTACTGTATTTTCACGACCATAACGCGCACCGTACTAAAAGGCGCAGTCTCAGTTATGTGTCCCATTTCTGTATTTAACACACACATAAGGCACACCGGCCTATAGGGCGCGTTTTTTATATACAGGTACATGTCCTCTACTACCTTTAAATACCTCTACTGCGTATTTAAAAATACAGCGGGGGCAAAACTGAGTATGACTGTGCTTTCTTCATGTATTTATTAAAAAGTATTAATCAAACCTGGCAGCTGGCCGTGAGACAGACACATCGCAGATGACACAGCGCTGTGATCACTCCTAAATTAACTTAAAATCCTGAAACCTGCCGACGGAATATGTTCGCTTTTATGGGTGCCTGCAGTTTAAATTATTTAGATGAAAAACACCTGCCAGCAGCCGCGGTGAACCCGGAGGCTACCCTGCTTAGAGGCTGCTGATGAAAGGATTTCTCCTGTCGGCGCACCGCTGGTATGTGGGGGTCTGAGCGCCTCCGACAGAAATAGATAATCTGGATGAACTGACTGCAATTATTAAGTTTTCAGGTGGACTTTCTCACTTAAAAACATATTAAAACTACTTTATTCCCACTGATCACAGCAAATATAGCTGCAAGATTTAGATTATTTAGATGAAAAAACACCTGCCAGCCACCGCGCTGAAGAGGAGGAGACGCGCCCAGAGGCTGCTGTTGAATTAAGTTTTCAGGGAGAAAAATACAGCGGGAGCAAAACTGAGTATGATTGTGCTTTATTCATGTATTTATTACAAAGTATTAATCGAACCCATCAAAGTCATCATCCTCTGTTTCTGAATTAAACAGCTGCGCTAAATCAGACATGCCAATTTCCCCTTCTTGGCTGTCAGTCACTTTCCGTGCAGCGCAGCTCCTCAGAAATAATGCCGGCTTTTGCAAAAGCTTGAACAACAGAGCCAGCAGACACGTTAGTCCAAGCATCTACAATCCATCCGCAAACGGTGGCGTAACTCGCCCGGCGCTGCCTTCCACTTATCGTGAAACTGTGGTCTCCGTCTGTCATCCATCGCTCCCACGCCGCTCGCAGCCTTACTTTGAACGGCCGCTTCACACCGATGTCGAGCGGTTGAAGTTCCTTTGTCAGACCCCCCGGGATAACGGCGAGCACAGCGTCCATTTGATTCACCTTTTTTTTCACATCGGCTGTGAGATGGGCACGCAGCGATGGTGATGCGTGGAAAAAACCACCTGGTCTCCTCACATAGGCTACACCTCCCTCAGCCACGCTTTCATCATCTCCTCATCCTTCCAGCTTTTTCCATTTGCGTTAATATCATATGTCATCAGAGCGATGTGTCTGTCTCGCTGTCAGCTCCCAGATCAGCTTCTCTGATTGGTTGATGCGGCGCGTCCAGCAGCAAAACTTCAATTTTTCCATCTCGAGCAGCAGCAGCGCGTTGGCAGATGCTTAAACGCTCCTGCTGCTCAAAACGCGCTGCAGGACCTTTTGCTGCACCTATACGCGCGTCAACCATTTACTTTGCATGTAAACTCGCTGCTTCTGCTGCACTTGCTGGGTCCGGTTCACACCGATGTCGAGCGGTTGAACAGCGAGCACAGGGTTAATTTGTTTCCCCATGTTTTTCACATCAGCTGTGAGATGGGCACGCATGGAGTTACATATTAACAGCGATGGTGATGAGTGGAAAAAAAAAAACACCTGGTCTCCTTTACATTCAGTCACTCTTTCATCATCTCCTCAATGAGGTGGTCTCAAAAGTCGCAGTTACAACACACATAAGGCGCACCGCACCAAAGGGCGCACCGCACATTTTGAGGGGGAAAAAAGACGTTTAATTGCGCCTTATAGTCGTGAAAATACGGTAAGCTTCATTAATTTAGCATTCTTATGGTAGACTTTAGCTCTGTGGCCATACTTCCTGTTTGACTGTTTTTAAAGACTACTCTTAAGTTTAACAGAAAGAACTTTAATAGACTTATATATTCAGGATGCAAAGGTGTAGTCAACATATTGTAGCTTGGACATAAAAGTAGCTCTTAAACACGTGCTGTCCTTTACAATGGTATGTCTGTTTTTGTAATTTTCCAGACAATTACTTTCATTAGTTACTGCTCTTCTGTGGAGGCTATCCCAAAATTCAGCACTGCAACATAGCCATAGCCCATGCCTTGACAGTTACATAGATGACCTCTACTGGAGATGCTGAGAATCTTAGCAAAGCTACCATTTGCTGCACCATCACAAGTGGGCATTTGACATTGAATGTATATACACATATCTTTATAACTGTCCCTGTTCATGGAGGAAT